TGAATGTTTTAACACAATAAATAAGAAAGTTACATGAAGGCTATGTACCCCCAAAGTGCATCAATGTACACAGTTACCATTCAATAAAAAAAAAAAAGAAAAAAAAAAGTTCAAGGTCAGGGTCACTGGAGAAGACACTGGACATAGATGATGGAGTAATGATTACAAAATCAGAGACCCCAAGGCAAATGTTTACTGTTTGGGACATTTAAGTGGTAAGAATATCCTTTTTCTTTGGAAATATAACCAACAAAAGAAAATACCAAAAAAGAGAACAAATGTACTTAAAATAATCCTCCAAACCAATTATAAATGAATTCTGCAATGGACAAAAAACATATACAAATAAGTAAAAAGGGAGCTGTTTCTTAAGGATGGCGACTTTCTCTTCTTTTGAGCCCTCTTGGTTGGTCCCAGCATGCTTCTCCTGGCACTGTATTAATACTTTCCATCCTGCTGAAATGAACCAACCTACCTTCCTTCCTCCGTCCCTCCCTCCTTTTCTCTCTCTCTCTCTCTCTTTCTCTTTACTAAAGGGAATCAAATCAGGTAGGCTTAATGCTCCCCATTTACATTCAAAGGAAGATATGGGTCAAGGGAAAGTTTAGAGAAAGTTAGTCACCAAATGTGTTAAATGACAGCGTCAAGATGTCTGTTATGCTCCCTCCAGGCACCCTCAGCACAACCAGCTAACCTTCAATCCAATCAGAGAGGCACCACGTGGTCTTCCTCTCTGTCCTCTAACTGATGTCATCAGAGAGGCACTACATGGTCTTCCTCTCTGTCCTCTCCTTCTTATTTAGTAATTTTGAGAAGCAAAAGTCCTGCCACAAGGGCTGAAGTTTCCTTCGGCACAGCACAGAAAGATTAACACCATGATTGTACAGGAGGAAAGTCCAGAGAACAGGAGTTGTCCTTTCTGATGAATACAACTGCTACAAATTATACAGAGACAACCATTTTTCTTTAAATAAACCCATTTATGTAGAATATATGGTAAACAGAAATAAGGCATTTTGGATTTTGCAATGTTATATTATAAACATATTTATTAGATTGATTTTAAAAATTGCAGAATTGAAGGAGTCATATAGAAAAGAATAATGAATTCTTCTGAACAGCCAGAGACTTTTATATGTGAAAGAGTGTGGTATTGAATACCTATTTAGGAAGGCTCTGACAATTTATTTCTACTTCTAACAGTCTGGGAGAATTCTAGTAATGTTACAGGAATTAAAAACCATGTAAACTTCCCCAGTTATGCTTCTAAAATGAGAAGACATGAAAAAGTATAGTCAGGAAAGAAGTATAAGTATTTTCAAGAGAAGTAACAATCTTTGGAGTAAGGTTGTTATAGGGCATATTATAGTTTTTAGTAATCCCAATGTTTAAAAAATTATTTAATTATCTTTTTTTTAAACTTGAACCAACTTGCTCTTCCTAACCCCCATCTCTAATTGTAAGTCTTCAGCCTTTTGTTTTTCTATGGTCATAGAGTTACTGAACAAATAGACAAACTCTCTGGGAGCCTTGGCCCTAGGAAAGAAAGGAAGATTGAGTTATCCTTTCTTCTTACAAAGGACTCAGAACATTTCTAGACTAAAGGAGACAGGTCTGTGTTCACTGACCTGGGACTACTACTAGGTGAGGCCCTCATGTGACTGTCAACAAGGGTCTTTATGAGAGCAGGCCAGTATCAATAAAATACAGCCATTTGGTATCACTTGTTCCTACAGAAACTTAAGGATAGAAGCTATTTCTTAACGCCTGTTTCTTTAGACTAAGGGGATTGGGAGCCCAGCCTGAGGCTAGCCCTCCGTCCTAATCACCAGTCCCCTCTACCTGCTTTGCAGGATTCCCTCTAATCCTTCTAGGGGCTGTCCTCAGCTCATTACTGAAGTCACCTTTGACTTATGCCCTCTGAGAGATTTCAACAACTGCAGTCTGGCCAATCATCAGCTTCTCCCGTGCTTTTAAACTCCTAGCCCCCTCTCCCTTCATCTTCTGATGACACCCTCCCTGTGGCCTCAGATGTGGCGCACACACACACACACACACCTGTATAGCCGTCCAAAGAACCAGATTAAGTTTCAAGCCCTTCCACTGGACAGGACAGTAGCCTCTTACCTCAGGCTCAGGCTCAGGCTCACATGGATTCCTGTCATTATTCAAGGTTAGATTATTTGAAAACATTTCTTACTGAAATGATCCTTCTTCACATTCAGTGAATTTATGTGGTGCCTAATACCAGGAATTTTGCAAAAAATAGCAGTTAAAGAAATTGATATATGCTTGTTCAAAAGTAGTAAGTAAGGCACTGACAATCTAAAGAGAAAGAAATGTAAACAAATGGATAAACAAGGATGTCACACAGTGAAAATACTTAAGAAACTTAGAATGGAAAAGGGAGTCAGTTCCTCCTGAATGGCCAGGGTGGGGGTAGGGATGCCAGGGGGCTTTCAAGAGATGGACAGGCAGCAGTTGGTAAACAGGGCTGCATGCCGGGAACTTGTAAGGAGCTGCGCAAATCCTCATCTCCAGGCTGCAGCCCAAAGCAATTAAATCGGAATCTCTAGGGGTAGAACCAGGCATGAATGTTTTTTAAGTTCCCCAGATAATTTCAATGTGCAGCAAAGTCTGAGAACCAGTGAACTACATCATTGCTTCCTTGATAAAATAATGTTATACTAATTTTAGATCTAGAGAGCATAGCATAGCACAATGCCCGCTATTGGTTCTTAACATGGATTTAGTAATTGAATAAAAAATTGAATGAAGAAGTCATTTAGCTAAACTAAAATGGACATAATGCTATGTTTTATGTTATCTGGAAAATTCCTTAGTTCAAATGCCATATTAACAAATAACATTTTGGGCTTTAAAAGTAGAAGCTGTATTTATGAATAAATTTGTATGTATTATGGAAAAGTTCACAATAGTTAATATTTCTAGTGTTGTCCTTATAAATAAAACTATTTATTAACCTATTTATTTACATGGATGCTATAAATGCATACAAATATTAAAACTAAGTGTATGCACAGTTGTGTAAACTATTTGGGGGCTGCTTTTAAAACATGTTTTTACATGCCAAGAGCTTTTAATGCTATCTCAATGAAACAAATTATTCATTAGCTTGAGAAGATAAATCAATATACTTATAGAATATTTATATAGTGAGCTAGTTAATTAATAGTCTTACTCCATAAGAATTACTAGACTTTTCATTAACAAAGCATAGAAAAGAAAAACCTAATGTTAATACAAAATCTTATTTTTAAAGTAGCTTTATATATGCACATATATATATATACTTATTACAGATATATACATACACATACCTCATTACAGATTATTTATAATTATTTCACAGCAGCTGACTAAGTTTAGCTAATAAAAATCCAGTAATTTCCCTCTTTGGTATTAACTAATACATGTAGCATTAGTTTCATCCTAACTCTAAATTCACAAGTAGTGGATATGTAAGTTTAGTACATTAGAAGAGATACCTACACAATCTGAATAATTCACAACACTTAACACAAAGAGGGATGGAACAACTGGCAAATTTGTCTGCCACCTTAAATGTCTACTGCACATAAAGTAGCTTCATAAAGCACCATTACTACTTCTATTACTTTGAAATTATGCCTTCACAGCATGGGCTTTTAGCTCCCCCTACATTTAAAATACCTTGTGAATAGAGAGGTGCAGTACACAGAGTCTCACTTTAAAGGCAGAGTCACTGGAGCCGACACAGGCTCAGCATGTGCTCCAGGGCAGACGCTGAGGTTAAGGCACCAGACTCCAGAGGCAGAGTGAACATCTGACCTCAGCCCCTACTGGCTAGATCCTGACCATGTAAGATCAGTTGACCTTCAGGGGTCTGGCAGTCCCTGCTGTCAGCCTCCAGAGGGGCTCCTGGACAGGTTTATCTCTGACCACTAACAGATGCTCTTTCTACACTAGCTAGTGAGAAAGAGACTCTTGCTCACCTTTCCTGGTCCCAGTTTTTTTTATAACTTTTAGATATATTTCCTCTCCTCGTGGACCTTTAGGTGAAGCAATAATATATTACTAAGGGTTTTTATATTAATATGTGAAGGTTTATATAGAAATGATACAATACATGTATAAATCCAGTTCAGACTGGAATAATACCGACCTTTACCTAAGACCATGGAATTGTAAGAGACCCACATAAAACAAGTCCATTTATTTCCCACTGAATAAACGGACCTTGGTCCAAATACATTTATATATTTATATTTAATGTAGCCTTACAGAAACAAGGCCTAAAAAAATTGGCTTAAGACTCAGAGTTGTTCCTTGCCAAAGAAATCTTTAGCATAAGGAAAAAGATTTTTATACGATCTAAAGAGAAACCAGAGTATAATACATTTATTTTTAATATATCTGATACTCACTAAATTAACAAGTGAATCTAAGAAATAAACAGTCTTCCTTGGCCAAGAAGAGCCAATGTTGTTTAAAATGATTTACATCATTTTTTACTGTCATCTCACATATGAAAGAATCCTAAAAACAGTATTTCATTCATTACTTGAAATTACACTTCTGTGAATCACTAAAATACTTAGGGATACAAAAACGTATTCACTCACGTGAATAAAAATATAGCTGAGTGTGGAAAAACACATTTTTGGTCTTGTAAATCAATTAACAAAAACCACTGACCATTTACTTTCTTTTTTTTCTGCCACCTCTGGTATATGGGGTTAGTGTCCTACTCCTTTGAGCCACAGGCACTGCCCCATTTACTTTCTAAAGAACTCAGGTGCTTCTATACTATCTCCAATACTGTACACTTTACTGGCTACTACTTTGGTAAAAAATTCAAGTGAATTCCACTTTATTAGCTGATGTTTTTAGTGAAACAAGAGCCAACTGCAATAAAAATTAATAGCAATTACAATGAACTGTAAATGTCATATTAGTGCTAATTGCCACCATAATAATTTCAAATACTTTGTTGAAATTCAGAGAAACCAAGGATGACTCAACCTAACTTAGTGGTGAGATAAATTCGGGGAAATTTATTTCTTTCGCTATTTATTTGTATTATTCCAGACTTCCTCTCTCAACTCCCCTCTTCTCTCCTTTACCTTCTTGAGCTGCCTAGAAAATCCAGACCACATGCTACTCTTCTCTCCATCAGTCATAATTATTTAAGATGTAAAATCCACTCTCTATTTACAACTGGCTGCTAAATATCTGCTTTTGAACTGCTTGCCCAATATTTCTATTAACTAGTGAATTGACAAGATCTGTTTGAACACTGTAGGGGAGATAACGAGTATATTTATCTTGGCACCTGTGGCTCAGTGGTTAGGGTGCCAGCCACAGGTTCGAACCCGGCCATGACCCACTAAACAACAATGACAACTACAACAAAAAAATAGCCAGACGTTGTGGCAGGTGCCTGTAGTCCCAGCTACTTGGGACCCTGAGGCAAGAGAATTGCTGAAGCCCAAGAGTTGAGGCTCCTGTGAGCTGTGATGTCACTGCACTCTACCAAGGGCAACATAGTGAGACTCTGTCTTAAAAAAAAAAAAAATGGAGGTGGTACCTATGGCTCAAAGGAGTAGGGCGCTGGCCCCATATGGCAGAAGTGGTGAGTTCAAACCCAGCCCAGGCCAAAAGCTGCAAAAAAAAAATTTTTTTAAAGAGTATATTATATATCACAATTGCCTACAATGTTTTTTGATGTAGATTTAGTGTGTTTTCTTCCCTGGTCACCAAAATGCTCTTTATTGCACTATCTCTAGTAAATTACTTACATAATTTTATCATTCAAATTTTTAAATGGAAAATGTCTAAGACACTTAGTAAAAAAATAAATAAAAGATGAAGAATATTAGAATTATTCTGATCCAATAACTTTAGCTAAGTAAATCTTTCAAAACACCTCAAATAGTATAATAAGCATTTTACAAATGAGGTTTAAATATCCTTAATCTAAATTGTTGTTAACTTCTGACTACCTACAAAACTACTATGTACAGCATGAATATAAACATTCATGTTAGACTAACACTAGGGCAAATCCATGATTAATATATATTTTTTCCAGTTTGCAATATCCAGCTCTATTTAAGAAAAGGGACTTAATGAATGCTGCTACAATAATTTAAATAGAAAATTGATTTCACCTTTCCATTCTCACTGTCCTTGCGATTAGAACTGTCACTATCGTTCACATCTTCTCTTCATTATTTCCATTTCTGTCTATACACATTTCACAAAGGAAAAACACACCATAAAACTCATCACATTTTCCAACACTGTAAATAAACACATGAAATCTTCACTCTTTGCAAAGAATTATTAACATGAGAGGGCAAACTCTAGCTAGTAAAGGAAAGGATGGATGGTTCAAATTTATCCTTGTAAGTTATGGCTGCATTTAAATTTAATTGTCTGTAAACTAAAGGGTGCTTTCCTCCCTCAGGATAACCTTAAATATTTCTGCATGATTTGTTCAAACTACAGGGAAACTTTCTCACCATTGCACCCACTTTGGTCTTTAGAAGGAAAAATAATAGCACTTAAATGTATTATAACCACTTCTTAGACATATAATGTTAAACTCAGTTTATTAGAAAAAAATCTATTTCTAATCTACATGCACATAATAAAACCCTCATGGTAATTCCATATTGTTACATTATAGTCATCTTACATACATGCACATATAGCATATGTATTACATATATTTACCATTTATATTTGTGAATTTGTCAACCAAATACTTTCAGTTCAGGGAATATGAGTTAAGTAAAAAATATAATATGGTTAAAAATTTAAAAAAAGAAATCACACCTTAATTAAGGATTAAACAAACTTAAGCAAATTGATTATAAATGTTAGAAGCACCAAAGCATGAATAAAATTTTAACTTAACACCTTATTTTGATTCTTAATTATTTTTCAAGTCATCAGAAGGTTTAGTAAAATGGAGTATCAAACTAAGAGACATTTATAGAATTACTGATAAAGAAGTCATTTGTTTTTTATTTAAAGTCTCAGGTTAAAGCTTATTATCCTCAACTTGACAGTTTTATTTGAATAAGAATTATTAGTGCTAGAGTATTAATACTTGTGTGATCAATTATAATTTTATTATGATGATATTAGTTAAAAGGAAACATGGAAATGACTCTCAGTCTATGTCATCATGATGTAGCAAAGTTTTTCTACAGTTCTTTCACTTTTGTTTTTCTTGCTGAACTTTGAATTAAGTGAACTAGTTTTGCATCAGGCCTCCTATCCTAATCAGTTCCCTCCATGGATTGTTGGGCAGTTCAAGCAGCTGTTAGAGTCATGCCCTATAGCATTACCGGGTTTTTTCCCATGTTCTAGTCTAACAACTAGCCCTAAGTATTGCACCTGTTACATAGTAAGTGGTCCTCTGTTCCATTATACTGTCAATCAGGTCACATGATCAGCAGAACATCATCAGTGTTTACACACTGTCAAATTTCAGACTAAAAACCAAAAAATTAGGCATTTCAGTGGGAGCATATAGCCTTGAAAAATGTAAATTATTTACCCTTCCAGCAATTAAACCTAATCAACTCTCTCTCCTCAAGCTTTCCTTCCTCTTCCTTCCCTGGAACCATCGCTCATGCTTTCTTCTGATACCATCACATCCAAGAATCTGCCAAACACAATGTTCAACTCTGTTCCCTCCTCTCCCTTCTCCTATTACCTATCCAATGTAAGTGCTTAGAAAGTTATCAGAGGAGCAAGTTGTAGCTCATCAATGTCTCTTGATGACAAGGCAGTGGGAACTCACATGAGTGCGGAAGTCAGAGGAGACCAAGTGCAGGAGATGAGCTGGTGACTTGTTCAGATATTTTGATGTGATGAGCTGAATGTCTCAGTGGAAACAATGGTAAGTAGAAAAAGTATGAAAGAAATTAAGGAAGGAAAAATCCAGTGGCTATTACAACAGATTTGCTTATGGAGTAGCAAAACTTGAAGAATAATGAAAGGGACAAGTGAGGATAGTATTAATGTGCAGTGGGTGTTACTGGTTACATTTCAAAGCAAATTCCAGAACATTTGCACTGCTTGTGCACAGGTGATCTGGGAGAACTTATTACACCTCTCTGTACCCTAGTTACACTTCAGCTATAAAATGAGTATGTTAGCATCCACATCTTATGGTTCTTCTGAGCATTAAATGAAAAACAAAAATGCTTGTAAAGCACTAAAATCACATGACTAATGAATTACAAAATCTCTTTAAGCTCGAAAATTTGATTCTCTCTTATAACTGTGAATATTTTTAATTTGCATGTCTTAGTCTACATTGTATCTAAGGCATTAGGTTTCTGGAAGACCCCTCCAATAAATATTCAACAAGCATCTGAGACTGTACTTTTAATAAGTGTGTCTATGTTGAGAGAGAGCGTGAGAGAATTCTTATCATTTAGAGAAGTGATTTTATTTATTTATTGGCCTTAGAGTTACTTTAGACTGTTGATAATTCTAACTTTGGTAATAGTTTTGGGTGACAAGATTGTTCAATAATAGAGTGATCTGTCATGCTAAGAACAGTCTGTGAATTCTATGAAATATAATGCTTGGACCTTGGTTTGGAGAAGAGCAATTTACTCTAGGACATATTCATCAGTAAGTCTCTTCTTTTGTGCAACCTTCATTTTTATATGAATTCTTTACAAAGTCAGAAACAACTGATACATTGTCTTAGCTACTCACAACTCATTCAAAAGCTTCTAAACCTATGGAACTGGGTGACTTATGGGGCTAGCTTAGGTAGCTGACTATTTTGAGGTGAGTCCACAACCTAAAACCATAATGCTTTGATATTTCATCAAAAACTTATTTCCAAATTTTTAGTAGAATGAATTCTCTTTAAGTAGACAGTATAATCAATTTATGAAGGTTTTCGTGTCCTCTAAAGAATTCTTCTGTTCCAAGGCTAGAATTCTGAAATCAGAAGTATATCCTGGCTCCTGCCTTTTCAATTTGAAATACCCTTTATTCTTCAAAATGGAGGCAGAATGGAGGTTAAAATAAATATAACTCACTTTTCCTCAGGGAATTCCAAAAACAAATGTGCTTTGCTACTGTCCAGAGATGAGAAGATAAGGAAAATGAGGAATAGAATGTCAACTACTTTGAGCAAGGACGAAATCACAGCCATTAAGACCAGACCCGAGCCTGGCTCTGTGGGCTCCTTGGTCCTGGCTCTGCCCCTTCTTAGTTGTAAAACTCTAACCATGACTATTCTGGCCCTTTTTAGGGTTGTTTTTGTTTGTTTGTTTGCTCTTTCGGTAAAATAGGAATAATATCTTCCCATCTGCTATACCCCAGACACACAGGCCTTCCTGCTCCCTGCACC